TTGATATAATTCTAGCTAAAAGGAAGTATATGTGATATTTGAATTAGCTGTTCTCAGGTAATTGTCATTTTTTTGTTATGAATTTTGAAACATCAAATATCTTAAAAACTCCCAGATACTTACAGAGCTTTCTTATGATTCACACACTAGCATTTGAGAACTTAATGAATATGTTAGGAAATAATCAACTAAATAATAATTATCATTATTGCTAATATTTATTGGGAAATCACTGTATGCCAGAACTATATACATTTAGTCCTCCTTTAATCCTAAATGACAAAGAAACTAAATTACTTACCCAGAGTCTGAGAACTAGGAACTAGTAGGACTTGAACCAGGGGAGGTTTGAATGAATGGGAGTGAGGACTACTGTTCTCAACCCAGCAGTGAGCAATAAGAGAGCTTTAACAGATGAATCTTGAAGGAAGTTGAGATCTCTTGAAGGAGAGATTCATATTTATACCCGTAGAATTTTAAATTGTTAGAATACGGAAAACCATCAGAACTGGGGTGAGGAAATATGTTGGGGGTGCTAAGACAGAGCTGGGGAAAAGGTGCTAAATTTTAATTTGCAGGTTAGTATCTGAATTTGTGCCTTCGAGTTGAAGGTTGTGCAAAGGCTAGAAGTTGCACAAACCCGTAACTTATTTGTCAGAGCAGGGAGTTCCAACCACCTAACAACATATTTGGTTTAGGGGGTTGGTAAGTGTGGTAGGAGAGTATATTACCATTTTATGACAAGAGAACCAGGGTACAGGGTAGGGAAATGCATATATATATATATATATATATATATATATATACACACACATACATACACACACACACACACACACACACATACACACATTACATAATTGCACATGTGCGGTAAGTGGGGAGGGGAGGTGAGGAGGAAGACTCATTTTTAGTTAGCAGCTGGTGCTCTAGAGTTTTAGGATCTTTAACCTCTGTGGATTAGTAATTTATAGCAATTTTATACCCCTGGATGCCATAAATCCCAGGATATTGAGATTCCAGGGTTAGAATTCTAGCAATTTTAATACAATGAAATGCTGAGGGTGCTGGAGGAGGACAACAACAACAACAACAACAAAAAAATAAACCCAAGAATCTGAAAGGTAAAGCTCTCAAAATGTTAAACATGAATCCCCACTTGCACTCCCCCAAGTCAATCACAATTTTAGCCCTTAAGACAGTGGAAATGGGCTTGGGGGTTAGGGAGACAGGAGTGTTGAATAACAGAAAGGCCACCTGGGCAGGCATTTTGGGCCTCCCTCCCTAGCTTTAACTGGGGCAACTCCCAATTTATTTGTTTAATATATTGAGAGTTTTTTCATACAGTTTCATTTGATAAAGGCGTTCCAACTTCCAAAGAAAAGGGTAAAACCACTTCCCTAGGGGGAAAGAAAGGATGTGGAACCTGTAAAACGTGTTCCAATAGTTTACCTCAGCCTCCGTCCTTTTTGGAAATAGGGGCAGATGTTAGCAAGGATGCTTTGGCTGGGAGGTTGGGATGGGCCAACTAATAGTTCAGTGTATCAGTCATCCCCTACTGTGAAACCAATAGCAACAGTGGCAACAACAAGTGATGGTAATAGCAGTTACCATATAGGCATCAACTCTGATCTGGCACAGGGCTAAATGCTTACATAGATTGTGCCATGCAATTCTCTACAGCCCTGTGAAATAGGAACTGTTATCCCATTTTGCAGATACTCTCACTCTTTTGCATCTAAAGTAATTGTGCATGTGGCCTAAATACATGTGAATAAACCAAACAGTCACTTTTATTTATTTATTTTTAAATTTTATTTTAGCTTTAGGGAGTACATGTATAAGTATGTTACCTGGGTATATTGCATAATGCTGAGGTTTGAGGTACAAATTATCCCATCACCCAGAAGTGAGCATAGTACCCAACAGTTAGTTTTTCAACTCTTACCCTCCTCCCTCCCTCCTCACTCTAGTAGTCCCCAGTGTCTATTGTTGCCAGCTTTATGTTCATGAGTACCCAGTGTTTAGCTCCAGCTTACAAGTGAGAACATGTTGTATTTGGTTTTCTATTCCTGCATTAGTTCACTTAGAATAATGGCCTCCAGCTCCATCTATGTTACTGCAAAGGACATGATCTTAGTCTTTTTATGGTTGCATAATATTCCATGGTGTACATGTACCACATTTTTCTTTATCCAATCCACCATTGATGGGCCCATAGGTTTATTCCATGTCTTTGCTATCGCGAATAGTGCTGCAATGAACATGCAAGTGCATGAATCTTTTTGATAAAGTGATTTTCTTTTGGTTATATACCCAGTAATAAGATTGTTGGGTCAAATGGTAGTTCCATTTTAAGTTCTTTGAGAACTCTCCAAACTGCTTTCCACAGCGGATGACCTAATTTACATTCCCTCCAGCAGTATATAAGTGTTTTCTTTTCTTGGCAGCCTTGCCAACATCTGTTGTTTATTGACTCTTTAATAATTGCCATTCTGACTGGTGAGAGATGGTGTCTCTTTGTGGTTTTGATTTGCATTTCTGTGATGATTATTGATGTGGAGCATTTTTTCATATGTTTGCTAGCTGTATGTCAAAAGGCATTTTTAAATCATATTTTGCAATTAGATTTAACTAGTTTCTCAGGACTTATTGCAGCTGAAATATACACCAAGTCGAGGTGATCTATTCCTTTGAACTCAGATAAGTTCAGAAGGACAAATCGTACACCGGGCTCTGAAGTCAGGAATGTCTGTTTGCTTATTCCAGGAGCAAAGTGCTTTATTTAGATTTAAGTAGAAGAAATGTTTTCTTCACAGAAAGAAAAGGTCATATTGGCATTGCATGTTTGCTTTACAAGATTTTTATTGATTTGTTTATTCAACAAATATTTATTGGGCACTAACTGTGAGCTCTGAGCCTAGAATCTCACACTTACAAAAGTGAGGAAATGATTTGTTTGATACAAGCCTCAAGCCTAAGAAATTTCTAGAATTACCAAATCCTGGTTTAGGTGGCACCTATTGATTAAGTGTGATTTTTCAGCCTAGTTCCAATCGATGTTTAGAAACCCAAGCAGAGTGAGGAGGGTGGTAGAGTTGTAGATTATAAATCATAGAATTAAAGACCCTTAGAAAAAAAGTAGCTCATTTCCTGTACTTTAAAAGTGAGAGTCAGACAGACATGGGTTGTTAACTATGTAACCTTGGGCAGGTAACCTCTTTGAGCCTCAGTTCATCATATGTAACATGGGAATAATAGCATCTGCCTTATAAAAATATGGTAAGGATTACATAAGATAAATTATCTAAAGTTCTTAGTGTAGTGTCTGACATATACAACATACTCAGTACATGTTTACTGTTATTGTGATACCTGTTTTCCATGTGACGGGACGGAAACTCAGTGAAAGGAAGTGACTAGCCCAAAGTCACATAGCTTGATGATGTTAGGACAAATATTAGAACTCAGATCTCTACTAATAGTCAGATATGCCTTATACTACATACCAAGTTTACTCCCTGAGAGCCAGGTCCACTTCCTGGACCTGTGAGAAATATTTGGGCTAATCCAAGGAGAAGGGAAAAGAATGACAAGGAAGTGCCTGACATAAGAAAATAATTCCTGGACTCAGAAAACGAAACAGCAAGGATGAAATAGAGAATAAGAGAGAAATAATTACAGAAAGTTTACAGAGCAATGTTGGAGCATTACAATGCATAGTCAATCACAGGACTGATCTCTATTCTAACTCCTTTATTCACTAAAAGCGAAATTGACTTTTTATTTCTTTTTCTTGAGGGTGGTGGTGGAAGGTGGTTTAGAATGCATTTGTGATTCATAGAAAGTTACTGTGAATGCAGCTTACTGTACAATTTCTATTTGCAAAACAAGGGAACACCATAATCGAAGTTGGAATGGAACCAAGAGTACTGCTAAGATATAAAGAATGATACATTATTAATTTTTTGCGACATGAACTGGCTCCTTATTAATTTTTTTAAGACACCCAGGCTGGAGTGCAGTGGCACAATCACAGTTCACTGCAACCTTGAACTCCTGGGCTCAAGTGATCCTCCCATCTCAGCCTCCTGAAAAGCAGGGACTACAGGCATGTGCCACCACACCTGGCTAATTTTTAAATTTTTTCATAGAAACTGGATCTCAACATGGTGCCCAGGCTGGTCTCAAACTGCTGGGCTCAAGCAATCCTGCTGCCTCAGCCTCCCAAAGTTTTGGGGTTACAGGTGTAAGCCACTGCACCAGGCCCAGAAATGATAGATTTTAAAAGAATATTGGGCTGGAGTGACACTTCATAGAAGTTGTTGAGAAATTTAGTAAAAATAAGAAAACAATGGCTCAATAGTAAAGTCATGTTGCTATTGCTTCATGTAGCCATAGTACAGTACAGCACTGAGAGAGATTGATTCTTTAGATGAAGATAGTCTTAAAAATTGGAAATACATTAAAAGAGCCACTCTGTTTCTATAGTAAAAGTGAAGGTTAATTTATGCTTGCCTAAGCAAAAGATGATATTTTCTTTCCTAAACTATTCTTCAGTTTAATCAGAGGCCTGAAATATTGGTTATTACAAGATTCAAGAAATATTTAGGGGATTCCAGGAGTTTCCTAAAAGAAGCAAGGCCATTTTGCTCAATTTATTACTGCATAGTGCATGACACTCAGACTGGTGCCAGAAAGTCTGACTGGAGTTCCTACACTCCACCACAAGGGATACATTGTGATTGTTTCAGGTGTGTTTGCTGTATAAAAAGATTGTTCCAATATTGTGCACTTAAAAATTTGTTAAGAGGGTAGATCTCCTGTGAAGTGTTTTTTTAATCACAATAATATTTTTTTAAAAGGTTGTTCCTTTTCTTCATACTTTAATTTTGAGTTTGCTAATTTTCCTCCCCTCAAAATAATTACATTTTATTTCAAGTAAAATATATTGGTAACAGCTTGATTGCTTATTCTTTTGATAATTTTCACCTTCACAGGGCATCAGGTACTGTTTATACAGCACTCGACATTGCAACAGGACAAGAGGTAAGTGCTAACGTTCAATGCTGATTTTTATTTTCTTTTATTCATATTTATCACTTATCTTCTTTGATAGCAACTTTGCCTAAAAAAGAAATGGGTAGCACTGGGTTGAGATAGGTGTTTCCTTCATTGGTGCCCAAAGCCTCTGAAGTGAGTGGTTTACCCATGATTAACCAAAAATAAAAGTGGGGGGCATGAGTTTGTGGCACAGGGAAAGAGCTTAGTAAATAAAGAATGTGTATGTTTCACTCTGTGTCCCCCAAAATATGAATGTTCATGTTTATTATAATGATTGTAATTCATTCTTGTATCTTAATTGCCATTCAGGTGGCCATAAAGCAGATGAACCTACAACAGCAACCCAAGAAGGAATTAATTATTAATGAAATTCTGGTCATGAGGGAAAATAAGAACCCTAATATTGTTAATTATTTAGATAGGTAAGTGTTTTGTCTCGTTATGTACTTGTATTCTTTGTGGGATGTCATTTTTTCTTGGCAAATTACTTTATTTGGGATTCGTTTATTTAACAGTCATTCTGCAAATATTTCTCAAATGCTACAATGTAGTAGAGTATTAGATCTATTGCTAAACTTGCACTCATTTAGCTTTGTCCACATATCAGACACTTGAAGAAACATTTGATGGTCTTGGTTGTAAATAAAAGAAGTTTGTATAATTTCGTTTTGAGAATCACAGCTCCATTTTGGCAGAAAATAGACCATTGCATATAGGAAGGAGTAGTGGTGTTTTAAACATTACATCAAGTGTTTGTTTGGAGCCAGTACAATTTCTGGGAGTCTAAGTGAAGAAGGCTGACTACCATGGCCCGCTATAATGGCTTTAATGGGTGCTTTGTGATTAACTGACATTGAGGTCTAGGGAATTCAGACTTTAATCTCAAACCTTTTTCCTAAACCAGGTAATTAATGTCTCTTTCATCAGTGGTATTAACAGTGTGTTATAAATAGGTATTTAAAGACAGCACTAACTTCACTTCTGGTTAACATCTCTCTCATTCAACTTCAAAAAGAGTTTGTTTAGTACCACTGTGCTGTGTTCTCTGAAGGTGATACAAAGAAACTAAATCTAGGTCTTCAACCTCAATACCTCAATAAGCTTAAAATGCTGTTTTCTGCTTTTTGGGCCAGGTAGACCAATGTTACAGAAGAAGGAAAAACTGGGAGAAAAGAGGGTCAAATTTTACAGTCTTTTTTTTTTTTTTTTTAAACAGAGTCTTGCTCTGTCGCCCCGGCTGGAGTGCAGTGGCACGATCTCAGCTCACTGCAACCTCTGCCTCCTAGGTTCAAGCAATTCTCCTGCCTCAGCCTCCCAAGTAACTGGGATTACAGGTGTGCGCCACCACACCCGGCTAATTTTTTGTATTTTAGTAGAGATGGGGTTTTGCCATGTTGGCCAGGCTGGTCTCAAACTCCTGGCCTCAGGTGACCCACCCACCTTGGTCTCCCAGAGTGCTGGGATTACAGGCGTGAGCCACTCCACCTGGCCACAAATTTTACAGTCTTGATCAGTGTCTTCTAAAGTGTAACTTAGGAACCACCTGCAACAGAGTAACCTAAAGTCATTCTGTGTTTGTAATTTTGCAAAAAATAAAAAATAAAAAAATAAAAAATGCGTCTACACTTATAAAAAATGCAGAATTCTAGGCTGCTTTCCATAAATAATAAGATGAGGACTGGACTGTGAAGTTTTGTTTTTAACAGGTTTTCCAGGTGAATTTTATGGACACCATAGTTTGAACAATACTGAATATAAAATCTTGCTTCACATTGATATGGGTCTTAGGGCAGAGTGGGAACATTGGGGTCACTCCATTTCCTATAATTTATCTTTCTTGATAAGCAAGGTTTCAGAGAGACCTGATTATACTGCTGAAGTGCCTTCAGATGGTGTCAGGTGATTTGAATAACCTCATGCTCTCTTTGCCTGAATTATAGGGCTCTGGTGACCCTTGGCTCCATATTTGATCACTTGGGGTATGCCCCTCAATACCTTCTGAAAGGTAACGGGCGTGGCACAACTCAGAGTTGACTTCTGTCAGAACTGAGGCCTGGGAATATCAGAGTCTCCAATTTTTTAGCATCATAAGGCAAAGTCTTTTCTTTTCTTGTTATAGCTACTTGGTGGGTGATGAACTATGGGTAGTCATGGAATACTTGGCTGGTGGCTCTCTGACTGATGTGGTCACAGAGACCTGCATGGATGAAGGACAGATAGCAGCTGTCTGCAGAGAGGTAAGCAAATAGAGCATTTCCAGCTGAGAAGAACACCAAAATTGGCAGTTCTTCGTTTCTGATTATTCAGAATGTTTATGTCATTAAAGTAACAATAGTAGAACTTTTCCACCGAAAACAATTGGAGAGGCCAACTTCAATTTGAATTCTGTCCTAATAGCACTCCCCAGCATCACCCTCCTGAGCCCCTTGTTTATTTTAGCTGCCTTTTGCGAATCTTTTAGTTCCATTATGTCATTCGTGAGGTGCCATATCTAAACCCACATGCTGTAGTTTGGGTGAACATGGGAAACAGTGATACTGGCATAACACTTCTTTCTAATTTGGGGAAGTTTTTACATGATACTTGTTTTATCCTGCATGTGTAATATGAGCCATGTAAAATAAGTTATATTTTCATCATTTTTATAAGGCAATTTAAACGAGGTCTTCCCTCAGCCCAGAAAGCAGTTGCTTTCACAGTACAATCTGAACTTCCCCTACAACCCCACAGGGGGCCTGACAGTCTGTCTCTTTTCCAGTAAGTGTCATACCCCTAAGGGGTTTCAAACTAAATTAAAGATATATTATTACATTTATTATGTTGACTATTAAAACACACACACACTTTTTACTGGAGTCTCATCTTAGGCATTATAAGCTATCCCATTTATTTTGGTGAGGTTTTCTATCAACAAAAGTAGGAACTCTGACTCACTGAAACTTGAAAACCAATGATAGAAAAACAAAACTAAGTGATATCAGCTAATCTTTGTGTTTTTTTGTTTTGTTTTTGTAAGTTGTTCACTTAAATTTCTTCCTTCCTTGCTCTCCTCTCATTATCATTTTCCCACCCCACATATCCACCAAACATATATGTTTTCTATTCATGCCATAAATCAAACTTACTACCCTGAGCCTGTGGTTTCCTTCTTCCAGCACTACACTGCAAAGGCATTTCCAAACAAGTGCCTATTACTTCATAGCCTCGGAGTGGTTCCCAAACCTGGCTACCCATTAGAAATAGTTTGGGGCACTTGTTTTAAATGTAGATTCCTGGGTTTCACTCCAGAACTTCTGAATCAAATCATACCATGTACAATGAAGCTTACCACAGCTGTAGAAGACCAAGCTGAATCCTCCAAATAACTGGGCCAAAGTATATTAATTGGTTAGTTTGACTGTATTAAGGATTGGTGCTATTTATCACATTATCATTCTTCATGTCCTAGTCTGATGTGTCAGCCATCATACTTAGCATGTATAATGCTAAGTGGCATCATTGATGTAAATGGTAATGTGACTTTAAAGTGGTGTTATTGAAGCATTCAGTAATCGATTTCACTTGACAAAATAAAATTATATCCCTGCCCAAAACTTATCTAGAAATAAAACTTAGTAGTAAAAAATTATTTGTGATATAATTAGAACTTTTTTTTTCTGATTTAATAGTGCCTGCAAGCTTTGGATTTCTTGCACTCAAACCAGGTGATCCATAGAGATATAAAGAGTGACAATATTCTTCTCGGGATGGATGGCTCTGTTAAATTGAGTAGGTATTTTGGTTCAGGTGGTGTTAGAGTATCAGGGAATTTCTGTTCTTTTATTGTATATCTTAAGAAGATAATGGTTACTGAAAGTGATTTATTTGAAAGAAGTTACAGCCCAATTTGAAGTAAAGAATTTTTCTAACACTGTTCCTGATTATTGTGACCACATTTTTTGGATTTAATATTTCAGAATTTCTAGTGACTTGTGGAATGAATAAATGACAACTACCTAATTAGGAAACTGAAAAATTCTGTAAGTTTGAGAAAACAGTGATGAGGAGGAATTAGATTGAAGTCTAGTAAAAATGACATCACATTAGTCAATTATTTCAGACCTTCTTAAAATCAGGACCAGCTGAGACATCAGTTAACAAAAAGGTATGAGCTAGGCAGTTTTGGAAACTCAGTGTGTAACAAAGGAAGATACAGCCATATCTGAAAGTGATATATTGTGAAAAGGAAAATAATTTGGGCTTATTTTAACTGGCTTTTCTTCTCTGCAGCTGACTTTGGGTTCTGTGCCCAGATCACTCCTGAGCAAAGTAAACGAAGCACTATGGTGGGAACCCCATATTGGATGGCACCTGAGGTGGTGACTCGAAAAGCTTATGGTCCGAAAGTTGATATCTGGTCTCTGGGAATTATGGCAATTGAAATGGTGGAAGGTGAACCCCCTTACCTTAATGAAAATCCACTCAGGGTAAGTCAGAAGAGAAGTCAGGTACTTTATTCCCAGCAAAGGGGAAAGGCCAAATATCATTTCTAGCTTCCACCAAAAGTGACCAGAATGGGCTCTTTTCTGAGACCAGTAACATAGAAGCACCAAGTTATAATTTTCAAATTTACTGTAAGCTTTTTAAAGTTTATCTTACAATGTCTCAACAGTTTTCCTTTTCTCTTTCTTTTTCCTTTTTTTTCTTTTTTTTTTTTTTTTTGAGAAAGAGCAACTACTCTTTTTTTTCTCTTTTTCTCACTTAATTCTTTTTTCCTTCCAACTTTTATTTTAGGTTCACGGGGGGTACATGTGCAGGTTTATTACAAGGGTAAATTCCATGCTGTTAGGGTTGGTGTACAGATTATTTCATCTCCCAGGTAATGAATGGAGTACTCAATAGGTAGTTTTTAGATCCTCAGATTCCTCCCACCCTCCACTCTCAAGTAGGCCCCAGTGTGAATTTTTCGCTTCTTTGAGTCTGTGTGTACTCAATGTTTAGCTCCCACTTGTGAGTGAACATGTAACATTTGGTTTTCTGTTTCTACATTAATTTGCTTAGAATAATGGCCTCCAGCTGCATCCATGTTGCTGTAAAGGACATGATTTCATTCTTTTTTATGACTACATAGTATTCTATGGTATATATGTTCCACATTTCCATTATCCAATCCACTGTTGATGGACATCTAAATTAACTCCATGTCTTTGCTACTGTGAATAGTGCTGCAATGAACATACATGTGTCTATGTCTTTATTGTAGGACAATTTATACTCCTTTGATTATATACCCAGTAATGGGATTGCTGAGTTGAATGATTTATATTCCTTTGGGTATATACCCAGTAATGGGATTGCTGAGTTGAATGATAGTTTTAAATTCTTTGAGAAGTCTCCAAACTGCTTTTTATAGTGGCTGAACTAATTTACATTCCCTCCAGCAGTGTATAAGCATTCCCTTTTCTCCTGAACCTCGCCAGCATCTGTTATGTTTTGACTGGTTTTTTTTTTTTTTTTTTTGAGACAGAGTCTGCTGTGTTGCCTAGGCTGGAGTGCAATGGCGTGATCATGATCTTGGCTCACTGCAACCTCCGCCTGCTAGGTTCAAGTTATTAGTGCCTCAGCCTCCCAAGTAGATGGGATTACAGGCATGCACCACCATGCCTGGTTAATGTTTTATATTTTTGGTAAAGACAGGCTTCACTATGTTGGCCAGGCTGGCCTCAAACTCCTGGCCTCAAGTGATCTACTTGCCTCGGCCTCCCAAAGTGCTGGGATTACAGGCATGAGCCACTGTGCCTAGCCCCTTCTTGACTTTTTAATAATAACCATTCTGACTGGTGTAAGATGGTATTCATTGTGGTTTTGATTTGAATTACTCTAATGATTAGTGATGTGGAGCATTTTTTCATATGCTTGTTGGGCACATGTATATCTTCTTTTGAGAAGTGTCTGTTCATGTCCTTTGTCCATTTTTGAATGGGGTTGTTTGATTTTTGCTTATTAAGTTCCTTATAGAAGCTGGATATTAGACCTTCATCAGATGCATAGTTTGCAAATATTTTCTCCATTTCTGTAGGTTGTCTGTTTACACGATTGATAGTTTCTTTTGCTGTGCAGAAGCTCTTCACTTAAATGAAGTTCCATGTGTCAATTTTTATTTTTGTTGAAATTGCTTATGGAGTCTTTATCATGAAATCTTTGCCAGGGCCCATGTCCAGAATGGTATTTTCTAGATTTTCTTCTAGGCTTTTTATAGCTTTAGGTTTTGCATTTAAGTATTTAATCCATCTTGAGTTGATTTTTGCATATGATGAAAGGAAAGGATCCAATTTCAATCTTCTGCTTATGGCTAGCCAGTTATCCCAGCACCGTTTATTGAATAGGTAGTCCTTTCCCCATTGTTTATTATTGTTGACTTTGTCAAAAATCAGGTGGTTGTGGGTGTGCGACTTTGTTTCTGGGTTGTCTCATCTGTCCTATTCATCTATGTGTCCATTTTTGTACCAGTACCATGCTGTTTTGGTTACTGTAGGCTTGTAGTGTAGTTTAAAGTCAGGTAATGTGATGCCTCCATCTTTGTTGTTTTTGCTTGGGATTGCTTTGGCTATTGGGGCTTTTTTGGTTCCACATGAATTTTAGAATAGTTTATTCTAATTCTGTGAAAAATGTCGTTGGTATTTTGATATGAACAGTATTGATTCTGTACATTACTTTGGGCAGTATGGCCATGTTAAAAATATTGATTCTTCCTATCCAAGAACATGGAAAGTTTTTCGATTTGTTTTTGTCATCTCTGGTTTCTTTCATCAGTGTTTTGTAATTTTTGTTGTAGAGATCTTTCACCTTCCTGGTTAGCTGTATTCCTAGGTATTTTATTTTTTAGGGCTGTTGTGAATGGGATTGTGCTATTGATTTAGCTCTTAGTTGGATGTTGTTGGTGTATAGAAATGCTATTAAGTTTTTTAGCATTGATTTTGTATCCTGAAACTTTGCTGAAGTTGTTTATTAGATTTAGAAGCCTTTGGGCAGAGACTATGGGTTTTCTAGGTATAGAATCATTTCATCTGGGAAGAGAGATAGTTTAATTTCTTCTCTTCCTGTTTGGATGCCTTTTATTTCTTTCTCTTGCCTGATTATTCTGGCTAGGACTTTTAACATTTTTCTAACATGCTTTGATTGTATTTTTAATGACAAGGGTCTTTAAGATTCCTTAGTATAGCTTTCTAATGTAAAATATATGTAGCTTTTTTTTAAGTTAGATGTGGGGAGAAAGTACTTTTATTACATGACATGGTTAAATGATCAATCTAAAAAACACTTGCTTTATAATTACTTTAACAAAGTAAATAAATGCATTTCCAGAACAGCTGTAATTTTTAAATTGGATTTTCCTTCATTATCAGTAATGATTTATTGATTAACAACAGCTTAGTGGGTATTGAATGGAACACAGAGATAGACATAGTGCTAACCTGGTGAAATCACAAACTTAATTAGATTGTCAAGTAGAAAATGATAGGAAACAGTTTGCATTTGCTAACTCACTTTGCTACCACAAAATCAGAGATTTGATCTTCACGTGATCTTGTTATCCCTGCAAAGAGAAAAACTTCATTTCACAACCTAACCCTATCATCTTATTTTGGAGATGTGCTATTGATCATGTGGAGAAAAGGAAAGAGGTATGAAAGAAATGCTTACTCAGTGCAGAAGTGAGCCATAGGTATTTTGTTGTGTATAGCCCAGCAGTGAGTTCTTAACAGAAGTTGTGTTTTGTATATATAACAGGCATCACATTGTTTAAAAAAGAAAATATGCACGGATTCAAATTCTACTCTCAAAATTCATGCACAGTGCTAGTATCATAGGCATCTTGTATATTGCCTGTATCATTACCACTAGGAGTCTAAAATTGAATTGTACCCGTGGTATGCAAAAAGAAAAAAAAAACATTGTTCTTAGTAAATGGTTAAGAGTTTTCATATAAAGCTTGTAAAATCCATATGCAAATCAAATATATGTGGCTTTCTATGCATGTAAAGAGACCTATAAACTAACTGTCTAGTTGTTTTTGCAGTTAAACATTTTGTAGTTGGGAGCAGAATTCCCTATGTATGGAGAGGAGGACAGCTTCCTCCTGGCTGTCTCCTAACTCTTGTTTTATTCCCTGTGCTGATTAGAAAACAACAGATATGAGGGAATACCCTAATGAATGCTATAGGCTATTTCTCTGATCTCATGAAAAAATCTGGAAATGAGATGTGCACATTGATTAGCTGCCTTCAGGGCTGAGTGGAAAAGAAGGAGCATTTTCCCACCATTTGTGGGATAGCCCTCCATGGATTTAATCAAGTCCACCCCTGACCTATGTTCCAGCACATCAGGATAATTACATGGGCTTTTCCTTATTGTTTAACCACCTTTGCCCATTAAGAAATCGCAGTGAAAGAACACATCAGACGTCTTGTTTCTATGGATTTCCTCCCCTAAGTCTTTGGAGTTTGGAGGCACTAAATGGATTGTGGCTATTTTGCTTTCTGCCTTCTAATGAGTAATTTACAACCTGCAAATTTTAAGGATTAAACAAATGGCTCTGTAAAACAACTAGTCTCGGTAATGGATTTATTACCTTCTTCAGTTCCCCAATTACAATTGATCTCTCTTTAGCTAGGCTGCTAATTATTAGAAAAAAAGGAAACAGGTTTTGATCTTTATAGGCATCTTCTAGCCTGGGATTAGAACTCATAATTAACAGCTTGTATCTTAGATTCCACCGCTTGATATCTAAACAAGTACTTGCAGATTAACAAACCACAAGGTTCAGGAAGCCTACATTAAGTCTGCAACAAAAAGACCTGTCAGAAAGACCACCCTGTTGAATTCCACTGATAAGGATTTACTCTAACTTTGCTCATTACTCTCTGTATGTGTGATCAACCTTCAATTAATCAATCAACAAGCCCATATAGAGCTAGCCCTCTTCTAATTTTGTCTCTTCTAGGCATCAGGAGTACTTTTTTTGGTTTCGATTTCAAATATGTTTTCCTAATGTTCTCTTGAAGGAAACACAATGTCTCAGGCTATATGCTCTTATTTGGAATCTTTAAAATGTAGTCGCTGAAACCGTGGGGAGATTGGAGAGAAAAAAGATCTAACATGAGCCTACACGGAGCAGCGTTTTCTTGGATCCTGGTGCCCAGGCCATATGTGAGAAAACAGAAAATAATCAAGAGCTTTAAGAGGAGTATAAAAGAGTGCCAGATTAGTCCTTTCTTTAATATCCTTCCAACACTACAACCATCCACTAATGTGTGCTTTGAGGTGGAGAGAGGTAGAAGGAAGGAAGTGGAAGAAAGACAGAGTAGTAGAGTACAGGGTAGCATGTTGATGTGAAAAATTTTGGTCTTGTAGTCAGGCAGATCTGGGTGTGTCCTGGCTCTATAACCTGCAAGCTCTGTGACTGTCTGCAAGTTACTTAAAACCT